AGTGCTGGTCTGGTGCAGCGCTGCTTGGAGGTGAAGGGCCACTGGAGCTCAGCCTGGCTATGGCGAGCAGTCCAGCTTGAGGAGGAGGAAGAAGGGGGCATGGTAGGAGAGTGGCGGGGCACTTACCTGGCTATGGTAGTCACCATCTTCATCACCTTGTTGGGCGCTGCAGCTGGAAGGCCCCAGTTGGGGTAGTGCTGCACCAAGGAACCTCGACGCAGAGTCAGGCATAGCGGACCAGTCAGCAGCGGCATAACTGCTTGGGTTGTCCTTTGGACATCAGCGCAGCACCATAGCTGCTTTGTGTTGTCCTTTGGACAGGAGGGCAGGGCCCTCATTAGTCCGCCATAGCCTATGCATGAGAGAGGAGGTTGAAGGAGGGAAGCCATAGCTTTGGTGGACTGGTTGTTGTTGTTGTTGTTGTTGAGTTGAGTCAGCAGTAAGAGGGAACTTCGGAAATTGATTCTGGTTCATCCATTCATTGTTGTTATTATTATTGAGAGAAGAATAAGATTGGTGAATTGAAGGAGGAGGAGGAAGGTGGAGAGAGAAGGGGGAATTGTCATTGGTCTTGCTGGTGTGCATCTTCTTCTTCTTCTTCTTTCTCTCTCCTCCGGTCTTTATCTCTTTGCAAGTGATTTCATTTCTTTCGCAATTGGGTGGCATTGTCTTTCATTGTGAATTTGCACTTGGGAAATGACCAGGATCGTAACAATTGGTATCGGAGCGGACTTACTTGCTGGCGAGAGGTGTTAGTCACCCTAAACCTAATTCCGAATTAGGTCAGGGCTAACCTAATCTCGGATTAGGGTTGGAAGTTAGGGTTAAGTGGGGCAGTGAGGTATGTGGATACTGCCCCCACCTGGTTAGGTCATGTAGGGTCGACATTTGACCTGACCAGGTTGACTGAGTGAATGGATGGGGTCGCGAGACAAAAAGGAGGCTGATTGGAGTAAGCGAGAGGGACTAGAGAGTGAGAGGTACTCGCACCAGGAATCTGCACTTCAAGAAGACATTGAGTGACTTTTGGGCTTCCCCTCATCTGCATCAGATTGCTGCAAGTTGCTACTTCGGTCTTCAGACATCGACGGGGGATCCGGCTTTGCAACAGGGGTGTAGGAAGGCCCTCTTAGTCATGCTAGGACACTTCGTGTAGTGGTAGCTAGGGGTCAGGAGGACTTATGAGAGAGGGGGGTGACTCGTTATCCACCTTTGGAGGCCGGGCCTCACAGGTAAGTGCCGTGTGACCTGGTTATGCCCGTGGGAGGTTGCTTGGTACTTCATGGCCTGTTGGGGGTGTGTTGGGCTCTCTTCCTCTTCTCTGCGGTCTTGGCTGTGTGTGTGAGCATGTGGATTGCTTTCTCGCCTGATGGATGGATGGATGATGTATCTGTTCTAAATGACATATCTTTCTACGGTGCAATGTCTTTTCATTTCTGAATGGCTGTAGGGGTAAGTTCTTGCTGAAAGTTGTCTTTTCCTTTTCAGTACGGTAGAGGCAGTTTGGGACCGACTTGGTACCCCTATCACGTTGGTCCTGGTCCACGACCTACTTGGGACCCCTCGAGACCCAGTGGGACCAGGCCCAACGGGACAGGACCTTTTGGGCCCAGATCTGTTGCCGCCAGTGCATTCCTTTGCTGTGCTGAACCAGGGGGGACATACGGATAGCAAGGGCATTCCTTTCAAGGGGATCTTGACTGGCCTTACCGCATGTTAGCACATGCTGCCCCGCGTCTGACTCGGCGACCGTCTGCACCCCTCGAAATCTCCATTGCTGCAGTTAGCTTTCTTCGGCTGATTTATTGTGATACATGTCCCTTGTCAGGTTAGACAAGAGGGGATCTCCAGCTAATCTGATCGGGTCCGTTCTGTAAGTCAACCCTCTCTTCCGTTTTATTTTATTTATTTATTTATTTATTCTTTTATTCCGCCGTGTGCCATTCTCTAAGTCCAAATGAATCGCCGCTCCGGCTAGGAGTTCTACCTTCCTCTCTGTGTGATTTTCTACTTGTTTCTTTCATCTGAACTATCTATGTCCGGTATCGAGACGCGTGCGCAGACAGTTGAGAGAGAGAGAAGGGAGAGAGAAGGTGTTCTGTTTGAGAGTGTGAGGAGGGGCAAGAGGAGTGTTCGTCCAAACGTAAGGAGAGAGCGGACCCCTCTTGAGAGATCTACTGACACCCCTTCCTCCGACATGGCAAACATCACATTTGCCCAATGGCAGACCATGCTGGATGCAGCAGATGAGAACGAGAGACCGTTCTTCCAGAAGCTTTATGATGATGCCGTGCAGAGGGAAAGGGAGGCAGAGGCAGCAG